GGTTCAGCTGCTGAACCTCACTCCACAGGCAGCGCGCGGCTGGAGCGCGGAGTGTGGCGCTGGTGGAGGAAGCGTGTTGGTTACCACACGCCAGTCGCACCTCGACATTTCACTGCGCAGTGCTTGTGGAGATAATCCGTCAGGTGTGGGATCAAGACTGAGTTCTGGACCGGTGGGTGGTTCTGGGCGTATCTGGCGTCTGTCTGCCTGAATCGCACAGAACCCTGCTGGACATGGTGGACCCCGCGCGCGCCCCACCACCGCTCCCGGCGGCTCGCTATAGAGTGTGGTGGTGTCCATCCGTGGTCCTCGGCCGTGCAGGAGACCACGCCCAGTCATCCCATTGAGATCTGTGTGTGTGATCACACGTTCCGGCGAGCCGACGTGCGAGTACTATGTCTGCTGTCTTTGTTGTTGTAGGCAAGTCAGGTCGCTGTGACATGTCCGCGATTCCGTAGTGTGGTTCCTGGCGAACGCTCCGGTTGACCGCGGCGATACAAAAAATAGAAGGCGCTTTGCGAGTCAAGCCGTGATGCCAACGGCAGCGACGTGACTCCACACGGATTTCAAGCACTTTTCAAGGACCATTTAGTTCAAAACAAAGTGGCCCAACTAACTCATCGCTAGACAGAAGTCCTAAACCCAGCAACCCTGATACAACACTTGAGGTGCGTCCTTCAGGATTCCCACGCCTTGTCCTGGAAAACCTGGAGCAAATGTAGAGCCTAAGTTGTTTCCGGCAGGACACAGCACCTTGGAGAGACTTTCGAACTGAAAGCATGCGCGAAGCTCGCTGGGAAAAGTCCGCTCCTAGTTGGTATTTTAGCCGTGTGTGTGCTGTCGATTCCAATTAATCTACATGTTACTGTGAAGAAACTGTGAGTCGATAGCACGCCTTGTTCACGAGCTGAGTCTTCTTGTGACATGCAGTAGGTAGGGGTAACACAACAGGTGTTGGCAGTTGTATAGCGTAATTAAGTTGGATGCCATGTGCAGTTTTGAGACTCTGTACACCTGAAATCGAGGACGGAGGCCTTAAGTAGGTACGTCAGGTTGGGGTACAACGAGCCGGTGTTTGACGCGCCGTACTCTATGTAGAAATGGCTGCTAGCGTGAAAGCCGAAGGGTCGTAAACGATCGAAACGTCCATAAACGGATGACCACCGTTTGTGGAGCCATGTAGTCCGCCGGCGTCTGTGCGATGGGAACAGATGCCCTGGAAACGGTCCTGGAAAACGGATTCGCTGTAAAAAGAGGTGGGGACACCGCTGGTTTTGCCTGTGTTTGAGAGTTACACAGGCATAAGGAATACAGGAGTGCTCATGGACTTTCTTTCTAGGGATGAAGACCTTTTCACGCCATCGTAATATAGATAGATCAAGTAGAGTTTTTTGTTTTGGTATGTCCATTGGTGATTCGTTTGTTGAGTGCTGCGATACACAGTGTGTGTGTGTGTGTGCTCCTTTAAGAAGACGCTGCTGATCACAGTGTGCCCAATTTCAGTTTGTGATAACTCGTTTTATACATCGGCTGCAGGAGAGTAACCTCATTATTCTTCCTCAGATTTACAAACACATGGAAGATTTGTGGGGATGCACAATATAGATATTTCTTCACTCAATAAAACAACCGATAATTTCACATTTTTTGCATTTTAAAAACAAGTTCATAACCTGCAACAACAGTTCTGACGCTTCATCATTTATTTTTCCATTAAAAACTTCACAGACATAGAATCAGACATAATCATTTTCGTGATTGATTGATAAGTTGTTTCATCCATAAAATGTCAGAAACTGTCAGAAAATGTTGATTACTGTTCCCTAAAGCCCAAGTTAACGTCCTCAAATGTCTTGTTTTGTCCACAAACTGTCATAAAGCAGTGGTTTCCAACCCTTTTCTATCAGAGTAAACTGACTGTATTTTATAGATTATTCATTATTCACTCTTTTTGTACAATTCTGTCTTTATTATTTATTTATTTTATTCAGTATATTTATTATATATCATACAGACTTAATTAGCATCTTTTCTGACAGATTCAGTGTTTTCTTCTCATTGTTCTTTGGTTGTTCAGATCTTAAATAATAATCAAAACATTAAAAATAATAATTTTATTTAGTTTCTTTCACAGAAAGTTTTTTTTGTTACACCCTTTAAAATCAAGAAAGCCTGTGGAGCTTCAGGTTGTCATAGACGACAAAAAACAGACAAAATAGTTAACAACCAGGAATGATTCACTCAACTCACAATTCAAATGAAAGAATGAAATCCTGTATTATTGTTTCGATTGCACAATAACAGGTTCGCTGGAACGGGCACTGTGACAGATAGCACAGCTGATACTAACCCAACAAAAGTTACTTAAGATATGCAAACACAATGTAATGCCTGAGTAACCTCACAAAGTCTGGAACTTCCTAAAACCTTCATATGACAAACAATAATGTCCTAAATGTGCACAAAAAGGGACAAATGTGCTGTTTTTCTCTTTCAGTAGTAACCCAAACTCAAGTGTACTGACAATCCTTTTCCAGGACCTTTCCAGGACATTTCCAGGAGTTTTCCTTGACAATACACAACAGCGGTTGCTCACAAACGGTCATTAAGCTGCGATTTCGGGGCAAATTAACTACATTCATTTGGCCACAGCCCGTAAGCAGAAGTTCAGATCAAGTATTTTAGTGTTACAGTTAACTTCACTATGGAGGTATTCTTATATATCGACCACAGCAACTAGAACATTGCTGCTGTATGCAGTGTGCGAACTATACCACGTAGTAGTTTACACATAATCCATGATGATGAAGATGCAAATAATACAAATACACGGCAAAAATAGCACACAGCAATCACCCCAACTTTTCTGCAAATCGTTGTTTCCTGCTCTAAACGTCGAGTCACACGTCACCAAATTCACTTCCTCGTTTCTAGTGTTAAAGATGCAGACGTGAGCGACACGGACGTCTCACACTGACCTTCAGTTTTTAATGAATTATTTCACTTTCTCCTGCAAGTTTATGGCAAAAAAAGGATGCATGCATCGTAATTTTCTAGAACGGCTGCCCTGAAATCAGACATTTTAGGCCAGAGGGGCTGACGTTGTCTGAATTTGAGAGACCTCCAAATCATGCTTTCAGGGGAGCTCACGTCTCATTAAGAGGAGCTCCAAGCTCTGCCGGGCTGCCCTGTGGTTGGCACCCTGGCTGCATGGAGATATGAGAATATCTGGTAAACCCGCTTTAAAGTGTCAGTTTATCCCTCAAACAGTGGAGCTCTTAAACAAAATACACACACAGGTTTACAATCTGAGTCAGGGGCTAAAACACAAACCAGGATCACTTTAATCAACTTCCAGGTGTTTCCACGACTGGAAATCTACTGTCTAAATTTCCAGACGTTCCAGGTTTCAGTCAGGTTTCACCTACATTTGACTTCAGCTCAGCAGCATGGTCTAATGTTTGTTATCCAAACAGAAGAGGTTTGTGTGGCGGTGCACTGACGTTTAGGTTGGGAGGGTGTAAAACGCTGTAGAGCTCTTTCTTTAAACAGTTGCTCTGTATTAGAGGCATCCGCCCAAAGCTCCATTTATGGCGAATGAATCCATCACCCCTCTCTCTCTCTCTCTCTCTCTCTCTCTCAAACTAAATAGTTTCCACATTAGTTGCCAAGTGATCAGCTAGGCCTGTGCAGAGGACACTGCCTCTGCTGAGCTAACAACACGACTGTAAAAGAAGAGCTTTAAAAAAGAGGAAACATCATCACCTGCTTCTGACAGGTTGACAGACTGACTCACCCAAGATCCACACGCTTTTTAGCACCCAGAATGCACCACAATACTGTATTTAAGTAGTGAAAACACAAGGATTCATACAGTATAGACCCAGATTTTAGTTAGCACAGTGTCAGGAGGTTGGTCTGCCGGCTCGGGCCTCCCAGTACCTTCAGCTAGAACCAGGTCACATCCAATTAAGCCTCTCTTGCTCCGTATCCTAACCTCTAACTCTCCCTCTCTGGCCATTTCTCTCAGGCATGTGCCAGACCTCTCGGAGCAAAAAACAAGAGCAACACACATTGTAATTTGCAGCAAACACACACACAAAAGCACACACACACACAACAGAGGCTGCAGGAGAGAGAACTGGACTAAAAAAGCCTTTTCCCCGTCGTGGCGGAGGTGCAGTATGTAGGGCACAGAGGGCAGGCTGGGCTTTGTTCAGGCAGATATCTCAGACATTTTCAGGCCCACATGGAGCAAAAGCAGCGTATCCCGACATGAAATCAGAGCTTTTTGGTAAACAATGTGCTCTCACAGTCGTGGCAGAGTGAACGCAACCTGTGGTTGGGGCGCTGAATAAACCGCTCATGTAATCACAATTCAGGGGTCAGATGATAAGAATTCTGCCCTACATTGAACTCCAAAAATAAAAGCAAACAATCAATCACAGGAGGAAGAATGCGAGCCGGCTCAATGGTGAACGGGGGGGGGGGCGGCGGGCAATAATGGACTATTTTGCTTTTTCAAACAGCAAACAGAAAAACTGGAAATTCCTCCTTCAACAAAGTAGAAAAAGGGGCGTTTATACGGCGGCACAAAGACGTGGAAGTGAAGTGTAAACACAGAGAAGAAGCAGAGATTCCTGCACAGGCGTCAGCGTTCAGCCTGTTTGTACTGACCGATAACTCACATTATCTCATTTATCTCAAACACCAACTCAAAGCTCAACGACCCCAACAGACGATGTGACTATACGATGTCACTTTTGTCTTTTAATAATGTTCGAGACTTGGTTTGGTCTTTTCAGAGACGACACTAGCAGCAAATCTGTTGAGGATGAAACTGAGCCAGAGAGAATACAAATGGGGAATCACGAAGCTGTTTGGTTACAGTAAAGCCTTAAACCAGCGTTGGTGCTGCTAGGTGGCGTTGTAAACCCGCCCACACCTTGATACCGACCCATAATCCCTTCTGTTTCAGCGCCTCGTCAGCGGACTTTTACCTTGAAGTTGCTGGAGTTGACCCAGGAGCTGGCGATGCCGTCCATCATCTTGTCCAGCGCCGTCTGGTCCTGCTCCAGGTCGTGGGACTTCTCCTTGTCCAAAATGTAGTCGATGATCTCCTGCCCCACCTGCAGCCGTCGCCCCATGTCCTTCTGGAGGACCTGGGTCAGGCAGTTCTCCATGCTGGGCTCCGTCATCCCGACCTCTGATCAAAACCAAACCTCCTCCGACTCCACTAGCAGGGGGAATGACAGCTAAACAAAAGGGAAGCCCCCCAGTTAATGAGTGTGAGGCTGGGTGACCCGGAAAAGGGAGGAAGAGTGTGTACACAGTTTGTATTTTTACCCCGAGGACGGGCCTTGCCTTTGTGCAAAGTGCTCACTAGAAAGCTAGTGGCCGTGCCCTAGGGATGGATGGAGCAGGGCTGGGGAATGGCAGCAATGCAGCATGTGTGTGTCTGGACAGCAGCTGGGGGAAGTTTACTACTCCCTCCCACTTTTCTGTCTTTCTTTCTTTCCCCCCTCTGTCTTCTTCTCTCAGAGGAGTCTGAGCCAAACCGCTATAGCAGGGGTAGAAGAAGTGGGTTTGGCGAGCAGCAAAAGGCAGCAAATGGAGAGAGGGATGGAGAGTTTAGAGCTCCATGTCTTGTCCCGGGATCTGCCCTGGAGAGCCCTACAGGAGCAGACACAAACAGACAGACAGTCACTTCATTATTACGGGATTCATGCCACAGTTCACACATTCTGAGCTTCAGTTTGAGTGTTTTAGCTCATAAATGTGGCCAAAAAGGAACTCATACTGCTGCATCTTACAGTTTTCATCATGGATTCATCTGCCTATCATCAGAAATCAGGCAGAATCAATCATTTCTTTATGGTCTAATGTTCAAAAACCCAAAGATATTAACTTTTACTATCATACAAAGCAAAGAAAAGCTGCAAATCTTCCATATTCTGAGCGCTGAAATCTGATTATGTTTGGTATTATTCTTTGAAAAATTGCTTAAATGTAAATTGATTATAAAAATAGATGATCTCTCTCTCGATAAACTAATCAGATAATCAAATCAAATCGTTTGTTTTTGTCCTTTTCCTGTCCGACAGTGTCTCTGTGCACGAAGCCGGCCAAGAACTAGACCGGCCCCGAACCACTGATAGTATATAATTATGGAGGCAGCTCCATGGGCTGCAAAAAGAAACCAATAGTATTGAGTCTTATGGAGAACTGAGCCGACTCATGAGCTCAGTAAACAGTTTCCTGATGAGTTTCTGATCTCAGGGAGCAGCCGTTGTTTCCTGCTGTGGATGGGTCTAAACTTACCGCAGTTTAACGGCCGTAATGCCGAATTTGAGGCTTTAAAACAGCGAGTTCACGCTTGAGCCCTGACCTAAACCCCATCCAACACCTTCAATCAAACCTTGAAGCAGATGGACCGGACTATGAGCCGGACTACTTTCTCCTGATTACTGCAAAACATGTTGAAATAAGAAGTAATGTAAGTTGCTAACTGATTTATTTGCTAGTTTATTTAGCAGCGACAGTACAGATAAATATTAGGGTGGTAAGAAACAGAAATATCGTATTGTAATGTTTTTTTGTATAAAGAAGTAAACTTTTTCATCCTTTAGGACAGTTTTCCTACAATTAAAGGGCCAGTGTGTAGATTTATATTCCATTCCTTACAATAGATCCTCCTTTTTGTTACACACTTTAAATAAAAAATAAAAGTAAATAAAGTAAATATAGTTAGCAGACAAAACAGATAAAGGATAAAAGTTCAGTTTAAAAGCAGAGGCCCAGTTAGAGGCAGGTCTCAAATAGAGGCTTCAGACGTATAAAACCTCTTAAAAAAACGCCGGGTCGCCCGTTTGAGCGAGTTTTGCGCAGCTGAGACCGACTACACAAATAAAAATTTAAGCTCAATTCTTCACAAAATCCTTCAGATTACTTTGTATATTTGTAAGTATAAACACCAAAGTATCAAATAATCGTAATGTATGATCCGTAATTGATTTGTTATTACGTAGCCTCATTTTTATACAAGTAATATTCATAAATAATCAATTTTATAGTATAACTAATAATTATCGTTACTATAATAGTGCAAAAAGGGAATTACAGGCCTGTCTCATATAGAGGCCTGTTCCTAATAAAGGCAGGGATTGATGCAAATAGTTTTATATTATTTTATTTCACTGTGTATGCACATTTATTATCCCGATCATTAATAATAATATACATTTCCCATTATTGGTACCGATTATTTATCAGCCACCGATAATTATCATTCATCCCTAGTTATAGTCGTTTTTCTTTTTACTGATATTGCCCTATATTTCTGTCTCTGTTATTGTTTTAAAGTATTACATTAAATAAATGTATCAACAGTTAAATTTGAGCTATTAAAGCTGCAGTAGGTAATTTTCACGAAAATTGTTGTATTACATTTGCGTGAACTTTTATTATATCCTGATAGTAGAACTTATCCAATCCAATCCACTTTATTT